AATTTTAAATTCAATTATTTAAACACAAATTAAAAAATTTTTTTCATAATTCAAATAATTAAATCTTATTCGAATAATTTCATATTTTTGACATTTTTAAAGTTGTATTATATTTTAAGAAAGACCATAAATTTTTTAATCACTTTAATGACATTTGAATATTAATTTTACTTCTTCATTAAAGTTTGAGAAATTTGTTCCATCAAAGGTATAATATCCTTTTCCATCTGCCTATCAAATGATCTGGACATAATTATGGCAATCATTATTCATAACGATTTGACATTATCGCATAACGATTTAAGTGATCTTTTTCGTCGTGATAAATCTTCCGCATAAAGTTTGTCATAGAACTTTTTGCGTAATTGATTGTGGAACTGATTTCCGCTTTATTTTGCTTAAACTCACTTTCGCAAATCATCTCTTTTTATCCAAACCTCTACTGTGTTTATAAAAGTAAACATATAATGCAGAAAAACATTTGTAAATATAAAAAATAATATTTACAAAACCATTGGATTGTAAATTAAAAACTTTTTTTGAAACAGCATTAAACATTGTCAAGAGGAGTCCACAAATTATGAGCTACTTAATTTTGAAATCTATAATTACTAGATACATAGTACAATTGCAAAACCATAAATAGTAATTCAAATTAAGATATAATTCATAATGTACAATATTGATGTATCAATATTACAACGTGTTAGTACAATATATTAATATAATCAGTATGGATTATTATAGTTGCTAATGACATTCATTAATTAATACATAATTAAAATAAATACTTTTATAAATCTTAGATATCTAATTACAAAACAGAGATAATGTAATAAATAGTAATGTAATAAATAGTGTCTTAGATTGAGATAAATTACAGAATATCATACAACCATATACTATGCATAGTTAATGGACATAATAAGCTATTATAATGTCATTATATATCCGAGCTATAATGTGAACGTAATTCATATGCATGCACAGTTTATCACTCTAAACACAATTATAATTCGAGTTTAAAATTTATTCGCAAATGTACTTGAAAATGCAGGAACACAACATGTGTGTGTGTATGTGTTCTCTTATTATAAATCGTATTCTCATCATAGAATAATTTATATCAATCATAGAATAATTTATATCGACAATTGACGAAAGAATGGTGATCAAATTATATATATATATACGGTGATAAGCGAGAACAGATTCATCGACGTGCTAGCTATAACAGAATTCGATAAATGTACACTATCACATAGAGAAAATAATTGTGTGTGAGTGCCATGATTAAATTATTAATTAAATTACGGAAGCGTTAATAATAAAGGTAATCAACTGGAGAATATTAATAAAATGCATTTCCGTACGTACAATAAATAATGAATTGAAAGCAAATTGTTTTTCTTGAAACAACACATTTTATTTTAAGAAAAAAATTCTTTCTCTTACTGATTGCGAGAGAAATTGCGTATATCTGAAAAGCTGAATAATTATTCTAAAGGGAGAACTTCTAAAAGAGAAAAATCAGAAGTTGAAGAGACGCTTACCAGAAACATAGCCAAAAGCCAACCCGTCAATTTAGCCTCCGTTTTATTTATCTTTCTTAATACTAATTGGTATTCGGTCCAATAAATTTTTTCAATTACGTAAAAAATATTTGTTGTAAATAATTTTTTACAACTTTACATAATTTTAAATCATATAATTTTATGCTTTGCATTTTAATTCTTAAAATAAACAAAATTGTTTAATTATATTAACTTTAAGCAAAGATATATTAATTTAAAGCACTAGTAATCCGTTAATATTAATTAAAGAAATTTCAACTCATTAGTTAGGGTTAAAAATTTTAATTTATTGTTGCACTTGTAATTGTACAGGGATTATTTGCGAATACGAGATCAAATTATATACATTTTATTTATTTATTTTTTTTTTTTAGAAAAATCTTGCTTATAGTTTACATAAAAAATGATTGCAAAGTAAATAAATCTTAGTTTCTCTCTTGTTTCTAATCGACACATCAATCGTGATTGCAAAAAATCAAAACGAGAAAAAAATATAATGCAATAAAAAGAATCACCGCGTTGCAAAAGGAAACGTGCAAAAAAACGATTAAAATTGTTAGCATTTAAATTGGGGCACGTCAGAAAAATCAACATTTATTCTTAGTTCCTTAGCATTTAGCGGATCACTGTGTCTTGTTTTCAGAACCTACTCTTCACGATGAGGAGAAATATTGTCCACTTTTACATTCCGTTAATTCGCAAACAGAATTGTACAATTTAATAAACATTAAAAATTCCATCATTTTTTTCCTAATGTTAAAGTAAAGTTATATTACCGTCGTAATAGAGTATTTTCGCCGCGTGTTTTATATTCTAACATCATACATTTGACTACAATATGTAAAAAGTTTCTCGCAGGAAGTATTACGAGAGTTACATCAGGACTCATCACGCTATCATTTTGAAACCACTATCTCCGCGAAAGCCACTTGCCTGCACGCACTAGACATAAATAGAAAATTCCATTACATTGGGACATAAAAAAAGCACGAGAGAGAAAGAGAGAGAAGGAAGGAAAAGAAAGAATAGAGGGCGCGGATTTTTTCTACCACGCGAGCATATCCCATTGTTTGATAGCTCGCACGAATATCGATCGTAATAGCGCCGGATGACGTCGCCGAACGAGGATTGAATGTGTCAAACTGGAACAAAGCCTCGCCCGTCTCGCTTATCATACTTTAACACCAATGAAAGACTCGCGATGAAATTTTTCAATGAGATGCTGCGAGAAGATATCAGCTCGAGAAATTTTGCATAATTAATTATGATTTATAAAGCAAAAATTAAACAGTATTTGCAACAATCAAACATTTTTCATGAAAAAGATAAGCATAAAAGTTGATTAAAGTTTGAGTAATATTATCTACACCTACTTCAATTATTTGATGTAAGACATGAGATATATTATATATGTAAGAGATAATACATAATTACAATTTAATAAGCAAAATTTGTTTCTTTGATCAACGATTATTTAATAAAGATCGAAAATATAATTACATTGTAGTAAAATTAATGAAATTAATGTTATTAAAATAATAACCGATTTATATTTATTATATTTCATTATATTTTCTATATTTTATAATTGCGGATAAAAAAAAATATGATAATTAAAATCAATGACATGTAAAAAATAAGAAAGTTATCTCGCATCCGTTTTAACAAGTGAGCGTAAGAACAGACAATTGGCAGAACAACGATCATTCGCATTGTTATCGAGACAGTATACTGTCGTCAATCCAGATTTGTACGAATTTTGTATTACACGAGATATTACTTCAATAATCAATATCAAATGATGTTTTTATAAAACAATACGCACGCTTCAAAGTTTTTACGTGATGAAAGATCCAAAGTTTTACAAAAAATAATGAAGATGTATGAAGTGATTAATAAAATTTTTTTATAAAAAAATATAATCTATAAAATCAAAATTTAATTTCAGATAAAATATCTGAATTAATGTTTAATTTTTGGAAGTTTATTTTATAACTGAGTTATTAAACTATTTGATATTATAAAAAAGAATGCAAAAAATGAAGTAGAGCAATGAAATATTTGCTGAGGAAATATTTATATTAATTTGTACAAAGATTCGGCTTTAAAATATTTACCAAGCAATTCAATAGTGCCCCGTATATTAGATTTAAGATATTTAAAAAAAATTTATCTTTGACATCGATGTTGAATTACAGCAAATTACATTAAAAACTTATGCTATTAAAAAATTTAATTATATTGTTTTTTTATCTATTTCATTCAAATTATATTCGTTTTACATGTTATAATAGTTTAACTTTTAAATTGTACAATAATGAATATTATTTTATTTAATGCTAGCAAACATATTTTATTCAAACATGTTATATTTTCTTTTTTTTTTTTATTTTGTATTATACATATATTCTCATTTTTTCTGTCATTCTTTCTGTTCCATATTTAATTTTAAATTATGTTAATATTAAAATAATAACCGATTTATATTCATTAAATTTTCTATATATTTTATAATCGTGGATAAAAAAATCAAAGTTATTATATGAAATGGAAAAGAGAAAAGATATTATAATCAGACACGGAGTATTAATTCCTTTTTCTGTCAAGCAGGTTAATATTATTTTATTTGATCTCATTCCAAGATATCTACTTAAGCATCACTCAATTGTAATCAATTTATTCAAAGAATTGTGCGTATCCCAAAGAGAGCTTATAGAATTTAGGAAACCGGAAATTACGTTGCTCAGGCGGAGTCTGACGCCGTCTTTCACCGAGTGTACAATCGAAATACACACTAGAGACCGTCGTATAAACTCACGTGATATAACGGGAGAACCGAAATGTAAACTATTGAAAATTGCCGTAAAGATTATTTGCTACAAAATCAATTAAGAAATGTCCAATGATTTCCTTTCTATAATTGTTTCTATGTGGATTTCGTTTATATAATATAACATAGTAATAAAAACATTCCACCGAGAAGTTTTATCTTCCCAAACAAGATTATGTTTATAAATTTCTTACTGTATTGTGCTTTTACTCATTAAAGGCTCATATGTATTTGTCAGAAGTCTGATCATCATTGAATACGCCATATGTTTACTTCATAACTTTTTTCATTTGTACCTCGATTTTTCCTTATCAAACATTTTGTTAAAGAAAAATATAAAATATCTTTTATATTTTTTAATAATTCCTTTTATATATTTTTAATGATTAATTTTAAATTTTCTAGTAACAAACGTTTAGATACTCATATCAAAATAAAATTTATTTAATTCTAATAATAAAAGAATAATGACAATAGTAAAGTTGTTCCTCTTTTAGGCTTAAAATCGCGTTTTCTCTATGATTTTTACAATAAACCTTATTGTAAAATTATACTATAATGTCTTATACTATGTATCATAATTGTAGGAGACTCACCTCTTTGTCTATCGTAGGCATTTATACACTCGCTGGTCATAAACTGACTGATTAGGGCGGTTTTTCCAACTCCTCTTGTACCTAACATAGCAACGTTGTGCGAAGCTACTTCCTTGGGCGGCAGTCGCCGTTCCTCATTTTGTTGATCGGCAGGCGCTAAAGAATTCGATCTCGATCTTCTTCTTCTGAAAGAATCTCCTCTATTGACAACACCTACCAAACATAAAGCAATCGTTAAACATTATATAGATAAAAAAAATATGCAATTGTAAAATTAAAATTTTACGTTTATACATAGAGAAAAAGTAAAGCTCCAAATAATTATCATACAATAACTTAATACAAAGATTTACATAAAAATTAATTAATAATTGTTAATAAAAGAAATAAAATAATATATAATTATATAATCATAATTATTTGTTCTTAATTACTTTTATGTTGATTAAAATAAAGGACAACAAGAATTTTTTTACAAGAGAGTATATATACTTTATTTCGTTTATTTCAAATATATTTTACTGTTATGAAAGACAGCCATTATAATTCATCAACTTCTTTTTTTTACATAAATTCTAACTCATTGTGTTTTCCTTTCTCTATATTTCTAATCCTCTTTTACTTTAATATTTATGTTGATATTCAATTCGTTTATGTATTGATCGAATACATGTGCCTTTGCATATTCACGTGGTTTCCGGTGTTCAAAACACATTATATATTCTAAACACCAACGCGCCCTTTACAGCGCGTTGACCCCGGTTAATCTCACTAATTCCACACTCTACGTGGGTATCATTCTAATATATGCTTGGGATTGATGGAAGAAATGAGCATAGGTGGAATGATCGAAATTCTCGACAGAGAATTTCATCTCACAATTAATAACGTTAATCTCACAATTAATTCTTGTGAAATATAAAATAAATTTCATGACTTTTGAAAGGATAATAGCTACACGTATATTACTTGACTTATATATTATTGGATATACTTTTTGTTTAAATGTATTCGACACAACAAAAAACAAATAAAAATTAAAGAAATTATAATTTGTATTGTTTATTATTATTATACATCATATATATATTATTTGCAGAGTATTTATAAAACATATTTATAAAACATACTAGAAAGCATATTTAATATGATTCATGTCTATTGTTAAAAACAGATTTACGTTTACAATTCATTGAAATCTATCTTGAAATATTTAAATTTATCATGTAAGCCTATTATTGGACACAATAAATAAAAATTAATAATTTAATATTTTTATTGGTAAAAATGATTTGCTGTTTAATAAATAAAGTAGTTAAAAAATAGAAAGAATTTATTGATTATTTTTATATTTTCTGGAAATTAGCTTTTCTGAAAATCTCTCTCTTGATAATTAAATGCATTTAGAAGTTTAATGTAACACACGCAAAGTTCCGAACTTATACAAAGATCAACTGTTTCTAAGTAATTTATAGTTTGTACATTTGCGTGAAAATGAATGGCAACGTCATTTGAGTAATGAATTCACAGGATCATTCTTAAAGCTATTATCGATAAATGTGATTTAACATGAAAATTAAATCGATATGTATTTGAATTTGTAAATAATCCTTAGGCAAAAGTAAACTTTGGCTATTGAACACGCTTCGTGCTAACGCATTTGCTTTGCATTAGTAATTGCACGTCAGGTTGAACTAGCTAACAAAGCAAAAGTTGCATACCTGTGTACAGTAGTTGTTTTCTATACATTAAACATGAACATATACACATAAGGCATTGATTTATTTTAAATAAAATGCTACTTATTCTCTGAGGAATTAGATTTAAATATTTAAAAAATTAAAAATATAAAAAAGATAAAGAGAATAATAAATGAAAGCACATATATACATAAAACAGTACAAAAAGTTATTTATTTTTATTGAATCTAATTTTATTAGATTTTGTAAATATTTCATTTTTATAAAATAAAAGATTTAAGAATAAAGAAGCACAGATCTAACGAAAATTTCAGAAATAAATATTCAAAAGTTCATAGACCTCAGATGATTCATGAATCCATTTTATCTGTGAGGTGATTCATACATCAGTTTTGTATCATATGTTCGAGATGACTCAAATCCAAGTCTCGCGTCTGACGAAATTACGTGTTGATTGAAGCGAAATATTTTAAAATTCTGATTGCTGTTTCTATGTTAAAGTCATTTTAATTTATCTTGTTTTCGTGTTTAATTAAATTTTTAATATTATTTTACTTCTATACATATATATAATTAACACTGAATTAAAATTCATAGAAATTTTTTATTTTCATTAGTTATGCGTAATAATATTTTTTTATTAAGTCTAACATTAAGATCAATTATTAAAAGTAACACAATTATATATATTTTTTTTAAAATCCATTCTCTTTCTCTCTCTCAATCCTTAAAAAAAATTTTTTTTATCCTTTTTGTACTTTTTTGAATCCTTGAAAAGAATTTTTTGCAACAAATAAATTTTCTCAGCAAATAAATATGTTTCATATTAAACTCGTTTTATTGCTATTAAAACTTAATAAATATCAATAAGAATTACTTTTGCCTTTGTACCTTTAAGAAACAAATTAAATTATCAAATTGATCTTGCCAAAAAATCTGTTATAAAGGCATCTGTTATAAAGATCACAATGCACGCGTGTAAAACTCCTACTTGATAACATATGTATTCGCGTGCACGTGTATACGCCGATGTCAACGTGCGGCTGTCAACCGTTAGGAGAACAACGCACGTCCTGTTCAGCGACTCAGAACACCGATATCCCGTCCGTTCGTCTGTCCGTTCCTTCCCTTTGTCTCATACCTTTGTTAGCGCAAAGTTTAGTCCGACATATGTGCTACTTGTGGCGTATGTACTTGTATGTATGAATGAATGAAAGAGAGAGAATCGATCGTGTTAGAGAGAGAGAGAGAGAGAGAGAAGAGAAACGGAGAGAAAATTGGACAGCGTCAGATAACTCGTAAGGACAATCCGATTTCCGTTCCAACTTCGTTAAATCCGGAAAAATTTCGTATCACATTCGAACGATAGTTGAACGATAGTCGAACGTTAGATGATGCGACAACAGTATAGGCATCATTAACTATTTTTATCGATGGCAGTAGTACGATTTGGATGAAAGAACTCATAGTATATAATACGTATGACATGATATTGAATTATTATTAAATATAAAATATATGAAAACTTTTTCATATATACAAATAACAAAATATTTTAAACAAATGCCAACTTTGAAAAATTATTCTAAATATTTTCTGTTATTAATGATAATAAAGGCTTTTGATGTCATTTATCATGATAAATGTTATCCGAAAAGATTTTAAAAATATGATTTCCAAGTAAAATGCCATTTATTAACTGTAACATGATTTTCCGTGATCCAATTATAGAAATGTATGAAATATTTTACTGCATACGTAGCTTTGATAAACGTATATCGTTATTTATGTGATATATAATCGGATTGAAAATAGGTGTCGATTGCAATACACCATTGATTACTACAAGGTAATGTCAGCTGACAGGAACGTGCTGCGGGTCGCTGCGAGACCGTTATTTTCCACGTGCTTTTGATAAAAATATCACGCAGCGCTCGACTGAGTTGCTACGATATATCGGTGCAAGCTTTTGCAAAAGTAAGTTATTTCCCAATGAAAAATGGGAAACCGTCCTGCTTTAACTGTGCGTTCGTTCGTGCTGCTTGGTTTTCTGACGAACAAATATCTAGCACGACAAACACGATACAGGTGCACCGATTTGACCATCGAATAGGTGAGGTAAATTCTATTAATAAAAGTTTAAACGTTCGACGTATTGGCTGCCAAATCGTTTTGCGTGTACTTAGACGTGATATTTCCGCAGTAGAAATGATTTACGAAGAGATTTCACGATACGATTAAATCATCATCTTTTAATTTTACCATTTGATGTTATTACAATATACAGCTAAGTTTTTATGTGGATGTAAATGTGCACGTGTGCTGCAACCTGTTTTTGAACTGACGTTCATTGATCCAAGATGTGTAAAGGCATCTCTCAGAAGCATCTCTTTGATGTTGTTTTTATTAAATAATTTTATGATAAATTAAGTAGAAAACTCTGTTTTCTTAGATTTTGGAAATAGAATAACTATATAGACTAATATCACTACTAAATATATTGCTACATTTATTAGCTCATAATGTATACATTTAAAATAGCTTCGCAGTTTATATATATATACATATATATATACACACAATATATAAATAGCATGAATTTTTATATTTTAAAATCTTTTGATTTAGAATGACTTCCACTTTCATGTAAATTTTTTTTATATTTCAAGATATCAGCGTCTGAATCAAATATATTCAGAAAAACTAGAAACAAAACTTTGCGAGAGAAATTCTTTAGAAATTCAAGGATAATGTAAATGAGAAATGATAAAATAGTAATATATAATCAGTACAGTTTTATTTATATTATAAAAATCTACTTTGATATTTCGGCTATATTTAAACATCATGTGATACGTTCTATAAACTTCTGATGACACATATTTGGCAGTCATCAGAGATGATAATCGAGACACTGACCATCTCGTTGTCGTCATCTCTGCCGTCGCCTACTCATTTTTTCCTCTGATGTCGGCTATCTGATGGGTTATCGGCCTGAAAGTCAGTTTTACGGCAGGTGAAGCGTGTTATGGAAAGCGCACCGTTGTACTTTTACACACTCCCGTGCTCACAAAATCGAATTATATTCCGATCGATATACAGTAAAGTCAATAGAAAGAAAGAATGAAGATATTGTTCCCACCTTTTTTTATATATATCGCTATTTTTCGTTTAAACATCATAACCAAAAGATTAAAATAAAAATGCAGAGCATAGCGTTCCTGCTTCACGTAAAATTATTATTCAATAAGATCGTAGATTACATGAAATATTATTTTAAATCGGGATTCGAAGTTATTAAATTAAACAGCTTTTGTATTACCTATTGAAATAGTTATTATTATGAATAAATTAATACTTAATAAAAATATATTTACACAATAAATACATTTGTAATCATTTACAAATATATATACATGCATATATAATTATACATTAAATTTATTTTATTAAAATGCTGATATTATTTTCTCAAAATTGAGCTCTAACGCAAAGTACAATGGTATTTCAGAA